TTCTGCGTTTGCAACCAATTCCAACTGATTTTGAGACCACCACTGATGAAGATCAACCACATGCAACACGACTTGAGGAGACTAAGACCCATAACCACCGACCTCAAGTTCCTAGACCTGAATCGCACAATGAAGTGACGTTGCATGCAGAAAACACAACTGTGTTTGGAAAGGAAGTGTTTGGAAAAGAAGATGACAAAGGGTTAAGAAAATAGAGGAAGCAACAATCGACATGCAAAGTGAAGATACAACACACAAAGAAACTACAACTTTAAGGAGAGACTCTCTTAAAGCAAATGTCACTTTTCAAAGTACTAAAGACATCAATGCTATGACTCACTCTGCTGCTTCACGTGTTTCCAACAACAATAATTCACTTCCCAACACTGCAATCACTCACCTCGAGCCACACTCTCTGCCAATTGTCCCCATCTCATCATGCATGAAGCCAGCTGTGACCCACTTGCCTTTAGTGGACAATGCGCTGACACCCTTTTCTACGTCCCCGAAGCCAGCTGTGACCCACTTGCCTTTAGTGGACAATGCGCTGACACCCTTTTCTACTTCCCCTAAACAAATTCCGCTACAGCTCACTCACCAAGATTTTTTTTCCTTCTCCTTCAACTCCAGCACCGATCCAACTTTCTGGGCCATCTAAATGGGCCAAAGTTTTTACCACACCATCCAACAATTTTGTCAAACCCAACCTTGATGACAAGGTTGTCATTGGGCCGAATAGTAGTGATAACAGGCCCACACGAAAAAGAGTCGGCCCAAATGAATGCAAGATTTTATAACAAAATAATTAATATTATGTTTTTAGTTTGTGGGCTGGCCCAATTATTTCTTCTTTGAGATTTGGTTTTTGTATTTAAACTATGTTAGGTCTAGTTGAAAGGACCAGAAATGAAAACAAGTATTCTCAATTATTTTCTCCTTCTTGTTTGAGCACTCATTTTAGTAACCCTAGATCTTAGAATCATAGTTGTGGAACTCTTCTTATCAATACGATTCACAAATGTGTGTTGTTATTTCTAGTATGATATGATTCACAAAAATACAATATATATATATATATATATATATATATATATATATATATATATATATATATATATATATATATATATATATATATATATATATATATATATATATATATATATATATATATATATATATATATATATATATATATATATATATATATATATATATATATATATATATATATATATATATATATATATATATATAAAGCAAATGACTTTACCACGATTGTTAAATCCAACCATGTTTATATGTTGAACGCTAATCTAGTATGATTTAAATCTCGAAAATGTCGTTGATGAGAATCAAATCAAAGACTTTTAAACTTTTTACAACGGTTATTTAAAACAACCATGGTGATAGGTAGCGCACATTTCAGCTTTCTACAACGAGCATTAGACTGTGATGTAAGTAATACATATACAACCTCACACTACTTAACAACTGTTGGTTCTCCGTGATTATATATTTTTACCAACCGTAATTGTATGTGTTTTTCATAATAGTGGTTGAACGCTCACCCCATACTTGTTAAATTGCTCTGACTTGTGTCTTTTGAACTATTCCTTTCTGGGCCCAATAAAATTATTCCAATCCATTTATGTATACATTTGATTATTTTAGCTTGACTTCAAAAATTACATTTCACAAAACTATATAAAGATAATTTTAAAATCATCGTAAGCTATTCAAAATTGAAACACTATTATGAACATGACAAAATCTTGAGTGTCAAATATTAAAATCACAACATATAAATAGAACTAGACATTTTATTCATTAAACATTTCCTAAAAAAGTATGTGATCTATAAATCTTTTCCAATAGTTTGTGTAAACCCAACTTGTGATCTATAATCTTCTCCAATAGTTTGTGTAAACCCAACTTGTTGAATTCAAATACCATAAATGTTCATCAATAACTATCCAATTGAGTTTTATGACTTAATCAATTTAGCTTATCCCCTAATCTTTAACTCTGTAATGGGTCAAGAAACACATACTACTATAAAGAAAGAACAATTTTAACCCTGATTGATTTGGTTGGAAAGATTAAAACACCAATTTTGAGTGCATAATACAGTTTGAGTTGTATTTTTAGGACTAAATTCAAATTCATGATATTTTTAGAACTAAATTCAAATTCATGATATCTGATTTATAAAAGAGATTACTGATATCCTATCTAAGTGTATGTCTAGTTTATTTTTTGGAAGTTGAAAAAATATTTATAAAAGTGTATAATTGATTTTAAAAATGATTTTGAGATATTTAATTTTTATAAAGTAGAATTGATTAAACCTTTAGAATTGTTTGAGATTAAACCTGATTCTTACATTGAAATTTAGAGTCCAAGTCATTTCTACATAAATTTATTCAAATATAAATTATTTTATTTTCAACTCACTTTTAGTTAAAAAATATGTTTGTTTTAGTTTTAAAACAATGATTTTTTTTTTAATTAAAAAAAAAAGATTTTTATAAAAAAATTAGTATTTTTTAATAAATTGAAGTATTAATTTTGATATTCTATATCATAAATGTACTTTATTGAAGATTAAAACATAATAAATTTACAATATTTTCGAAAAGACATTTCTTAAAAATAACTTTTAAAAAAAATATTTGAAATATTTGAAATATTTTGATTTAAAAAAAGTTATAGCAAAAGAAAATTTTTCTAAAATAATATTTTAAAAATAATTATTTAAATTAAATTTTTATTTAACATTTTAAAAAAATTATAAATATGTTTTAAAAATTATATAACATTATCAAAATTAATTAAACGAACTCACAATCAAATTTGTAAAATCAATTCATTCAAAATCAATATTTTTTATTTTGTAAAGTGGAGGGCCTAAGTTGAACAAACCTATTAACAAATTTTTCATCTAAGTTACTCTTAAACAAGTGCACAATAGACATAAAATATGCATCAAATAGACAAATTCCTCTAGAAAGATGGATTCCTTGTTTAGCAAGAGCATCACACTAATTGGATTTCGATACACAAGATAAACACAAATATCCTTATCCTATTGGAAATGCGACCTAATTTTCGTAACTAGGTTTCTCTCCAAAATGTTGGCTAGAATGACTAGAATTAGTATCTTAGGCAACTTGAGATGACTTCATATAGATATAAATTTTAGAAAACTCCAAACCAATTGCAAGTTTAAGGCCTTCTAAAACGTCCCACATCTCCGCTATGTACACATCACAAATTCCGATATGTTTTGAAAATTCCCCTAGCCAGTCTCATTCATTTCCTCTAATAATGCCTCCACATCCCTCTATCCCACGTTTGTCTTTGACCCTTCAAAATTCAACTTCACCCTCCCCACACTAAGTGCTTTGCACTTAATAGAGACCCACTCCTTAGAATGATTTCTTGCAATCAAGGAAGAAAGCTTAGCCTGACCGTAATCTTTTATTTGCCTATATATATGATTCGTCATATCTGGGGTCTCGAAAAGTTCTCAACATAGATTTCTTTATTATGCCAACTCCACATATTATAGCATGGAGTAGCCTAGAAAGTCTAAAGTCTTCCAATCAAAGTTCGAGTCCCACCTCATATTAACCTTTATATTGTTATCAAATCACCTGCAAAAAAGAGAGACCTCTTGTTGGTGTGCATCGCCGATAGCCAAAACAACATGGTTAGCGAAAAATTTCGGAGCACATGTAAAGCATCTTCCTCTTCATTTCCATAAAAATGGCACATTGCATTCCCAAGCCCCATCATGTGCTCCATGCTATTTGTAATGAGCCTGTTATGATTGGGGATCCACACAAAATTCTTAACTATCTCAGTAGATTGAATCTTCCATATTTGCTTCAATCTTGCTTCTTTTCCTTATCTATTCTTGTCATCCAAGATATGGTACATCTCTCCAACCGAAAACAAATTTTCATGCGCTCTAGAGCTCACTCTATGATCCGACCCTGATTCAATTGCAGGAGGCAGCATGCTTGCTATTCTGCATGTAACATGTTCCGATAACCATTGGTTTAACAGTTCTCAATTCCAATCACTCACACCATTAACCAAGTCTGCCACTTTCGGATTACAGAGATGAAGTGGGATATTCACGTCCATATCAGATATTTGAGCATCATACCCTAACCAATTTATATTCAAAATCAATTTTTTCACCACATAATTCAAAACACACACTAAGTGCTTTTAGTATCATAAATTACTACTTAAATTTTTTAGACATTAACATAATAATTAATGAATTTATTTGTAAATTTAAATTATTTAAATAATATAAGCAACATTTACGCTGAAACTTTTAGTCAAATAACAAACTTTTTCAAATAAATACTCAAACTAACCCACTTTTTCATCTATTCCTCAAACTAATCCACTTTAAAAGAATAAAAATTCAATAAAGAGAAGTCGCCAATTCAATTGACGATAGTGTATAAACACATAAGAACAACCGCCAATTAGATTGACGACAGTGTGCATTCTCTCTCTTCTGTATTTATACACTGTCGCTAATTGAATTGACGACTGCTCTTATGTTTTTGTACATTGTTGTCAATTGAATTGACGACTTCTCTTTATTAAATTTTTATATTTTTAAAAAGTGGGTTAGTTTTTAAGAAATAGGTAAAAAAATTGATTAGTTTGAGTATTTATTTAAAAAAGTTGGTTATTTGAGGAAAGTTTTCTATCTACTAAATAAAAGTTTAAAATAGAAATTTATTTATGTTAATTATTTTTTTATAAAATTTCCTCAATTTCAAAGTCCTCCCCACCCATTTGGTCTGATTCCCATGGTTTTGGAATATTGTTACCCAGCCTCCTCATAATCACAATGTACAAACCATGATATTTGATGTTTTAACTTTGCAGTTACATGCTATCAGTATCGGTGCCACTTCAAATAAACACAGTAAAAACGACAGTGATTGTGTCTCTCTAGCATAGACATGCAAATCCTATGTAGTAAAACTGCTTCTCATACTTTTTCTCTATACCGCTTCCAAGAAACTTGTTTACGAGTTCTCTCATTCTGCAACTCTAACTCCCTCAAAGAAGGAGTATGCATTCATAGCCCCATAATCAAGCTGGGTCTTCAACATGACTTGTATTTAAACAACAATTTGTTATCTTTGTATGCTAAATGCTTTGGAGTTCATCAAGCACGCCACTTGTTTGATGAAATGCCTTACAGAGATGTCGTATCATGGACTACTGTTCTGTCTTCTCACACCAAGAATAAGTATCATTTTGACGCCCTTGAATTGTTTGAAATGATGATAGGTTCGGGTATGTACCCGAATGAATTTACATTGTCTAGTGCATTAAGATCATGTTCTGCTTTAGGGGAGTTTGATTGTGGGATGCAGATTCATTCAGCTGTTGTGAAGCTTGGTTTAGAGATGAATCCTTTTCTTGGCACTTCTTTGATTGAGTTTTATACCGAAAGTTGTTGTAGTAGTGTTGAAGGGTATAACTTGCTTTCCTTGGTGAGGAATGGTGGTGATGTTGTGTCTTGGACAACGATGATTTCTTCTTTAGTTGAAACTGGTAAATGGGGTGAAGCTTTTGAAATCTATGTCAAAATGATTGAAACAGGTGTTTACCCAAATGAATTTACATTTGTTAAACTATTAGGTGCGGTGTCTTCTTTTCTTGGCTTGGCGTATGGGAAAATGTTGCATGCACAGCTAATTATATTTGGGGCTGAAATGAATTTGGTGTTAAAAACAGCTGTTGTTGATATGTATTCAAAATGCAGAAGGATGGAAGATGTTATTAAGGTCTCCAATTTGACACCTGAATACGATGTGTGCTTATGGACCACCATTATCTCTGGATTTAATCAAAATTTGCAGGTTAGAGAGGCTGTCACGGCATTTCTCGATATGGGGTTATCTGGTATCATACCAAATAATTTTACGTATTCTAGTTTGTTAAATGGTTGCTCCTCAATCTTATCATTGCACCTAGGGGAACAATTTCATTCGCGGGTTATCATTATTGGACTTGAGGATGATCTTTATGTAGGAAATGCGCTGGTTGATATGTACATGAAATGCTCCTGCAGCACTTCAAATGCTGCCAAAGCTTTTAGAGGGATAGCATCACCAAATGTCATCTCTTGGACTTCTTTGATAGCTGGTTTTGCAGAAAATGGATTAGAAGAAGAATCTTTTCAGTTGTTTGCTGAGATGCAAGCAGCAGGAGTACAACCGAATTCCTTTACACTGTCTACCATTCTCAGAGCTTGCAGCAAAATGAGGTCTGTTGCTCCAACTATGATGCTCCATGGACATATAATAAAAGCAAAAGCAGACATAGATATAGCTGTTGGGAATGCTCTTGTAGATGCTTATGCTGGAGGGGGGATGACGGATGAGGCATGGTCTGTAATTGGTATGATGAAACATAGAGATCCCATCACATACACATGTTTATCCGCAAGACTAAACCAGAAGGGGGATCATGGAATGGCATTAAAAGTTTTCATTCACATGTGCAATGATGGGATTAAGATGGATGAATTCAGTTTGGCAAGTTTTTTATCAGCTGCAGCTGGTTTAGGCACAATGGAAGCTGGAAAACAGCTGCATTGTTATTCAGTCAAATCAGGCTTCCAGAGATATAACTCAGTTTCAAACAGCTTAGTTCACTTGTACAGCAAATGTGGTAGTGTGCATGATGCATATAGAGCTTTCGAAGATATAAATGAGCCAGATGCATTTTCATGGAATGGTTTGATATCTGGATTGGCATCAAATGGATATATAACCCATGCTCTTTCTGCTTTTGATGACATGAGGTTAGCTGGAGTTAAACCTGATGCTATTACGCTCTTATCATTGATTTCTGCTTGCAGCCATGGTGATTTATTAGACCTGGGTCTTGAGTATTTCCATTCTATGGAAAAAGTATACCATATAACACCAAAATTGGATCACTTTGTGTGTTTGGTTGATCTCCTTGGTAGAGGTGGCCGCCTAGAGGAAGCTATGGGAGTTATTGAAACAATGCCGTTCAAGCCAGACTCTTTGATTTGTAAAACTTTATTAAATGCTTGCAGTTTACATGGAAATGTTGCACTAGGAGAAGATATGGCAAGGAGATGTCTTGAGCTTGATCCATCTGATCCTGCAATATATTTGCTTCTTGCAAACTTATACGACAACACTGGACTCTCTGATTTTGGAGAGAAGACACGTCGGTTGATGAGAGAAAGAGGTTTAAGGAGAAGTCCCGGGCAGTGCTGGATGGAGATAAGAAGCAGAGTTCATCACTTCTCGGCAGGAGACAAGATTAATGATGAGATTTATGAAAAGCTGGAGTTTGTTACAACTGAATTTAGGAATAGAGGGTATCAATACCAAGAGAATGAAGATAAGTTATACCACTCAGAGCAATTGGCAGTTGCATTTGGTGTTCTTAATGTCCCAACTATAGCCCCAATTCGCATATACAAGAATTCACTTATCTGCCCTCACTGCCATACTTTTATAATGCTTTCCACAAAAGTGGTTGGTAGGGAGATAATTGTGAGGGATAGGAAGCGATTCCATTTCTTTAAGGATGGCCAGTGTTCTTGCAGAGGTCACCCCTGATGCAGAAACAGTTCCTTGTCTTTTGTGCATTATATTTGTTATAGGCTTATAGCAATGTAAATAGAAACCCAGACTATGCTCTGCATCAATTTAGTTGGGTGAAAGATAACAAATATTGTTAATGTAACAAAATTAATTTCCATTCTATTAAGCCTAAAAAGGTTGTTGAGTCATATAACTGGACAAATGCCATGCTATCTTGGAAAAGAATTGGATGAGCAGAATTTTTGTAAATTATGAACTTTAGTTCTTATATTACATTGTTTTTAACTACAAGTTACTCAACATCAGTTTTTCATTTGCTTTATTTTTTCTTTTGACTCTTCAATTGATGAACAGATGAGAAGCGCATGCTCCGGATTGTGAAATCAGATCCAATTGATTGTGTGTATTAAGCATATTGAAGAATGAATTCTGCAATGGTATCTTATTCCATCTTGAGCACTTCAATATTAGGGATCTTTAGTGGTTTTGATATAAAAACGCCAATACTTACTCAGACTGAAATTATTCATTAAGCAATATTCTTAAAAACTCAAGATATTATTGCTTTTTAGTTGATGACTTAAAAGATTCACCTGTTTTGGTTCGAGTATGCTAAGATCTATTCTTTCTTAAATTACATTCAACCGATCAAACTATAAGATAAAACACTAAATATGAGATCATGCGAATTTTCACAAATTCACAACTTTAATTTCTTTCAATTATTTGATTTAACTTTATTTAGTTCTTTCGGTAGGAATTTTGAGCACTTTGTCTTGTGCTTGCTACTTAACTAATGATGCTTGTAATTTATTCTTCTTTATTCACTTGCCATCGTCAAAACTAGTCATTAACCTATATAATACATAGAACCACATTTTTTTCCTTTTAGATGATGACAACGTATCTCTCAAAAAGTTCGTAAAATTGAAAACAAAATATGAACATAACAAAATAGTTAACTCTCACTAATAAATAAAGAGAATATACTTCTTTTTCTTTGTCATTATCAAAGAGAAAAGAAAGGAAAAAAATAGAAAAGAAACAGAACACAAAAATAATTCATATAAAAGATATGAGTTACTGGATAAAAAATTTAAAAATAAGCATATAGAGAGACACAATTAAGCAAGACATACAACCATATTTCTCTTCCTGGTTGGCACTATCCATCTTTAAGACCGGTTCATTAAGCGAAAGTCTTTGTTGGTCTTCTTATCTTTGTTGGTGTCAAAGTTTAGATTTTTTTTTTTCATTTCATGTCCCTTAAATTGATTTGTTTAAGGATGTCTTTCTCTGTTGAGATTTTTCTTTAACTTTATCTACTAAGAGGCTTCCTCTTAAAATATATATACACCCAAAGAGTTCTATCTCTACAACATATATGGGGTTAGCTGATCAAAATTAACATGGATATATTCTTCTATAGTCATGGTCTAAAAATTTCACTAGAATACATTTATTTCTAGATTTTATCGAAAAATTAGATGATACTTTATTACCTTTATCACATAATTTATTTAATACTTAAGTAAATTGTGTTATAAACTTTCAATAAATATAATTCAAAGATAAGGTTAAGGCTCTTACCAATAGTCAATGACCCAATTGATTTACCTTTACTGTTACCTGTTACCGTAAGTAGATTCTCCTTTGTTTGAAGTAAAATAAGAGTGAATATTTATATATTTGACCCCATATATTTTGAATAATCACTATCAATGTGAAATTTTGAATTCGAGGTGTCAATAGTCAAGCATATCTAAATCACAATTTAACCTTTTGACATTTAATACTCCAAATCTTTTTAAATCATCTTGCATTAGTGGAATGCATATTAGTATCTCTAAGTTTTTAACTAGAATTATGATTATAGAAGGAAGATAAAGCAAAAATACTTCTCATGTTATTATCATTGTGTTCTTTATAGAAATGGGGAGTAGAATATGATTTTTTTTACTTTTATAATTTTTTCTAATAAAATAGAACAAAACAACGTGCTCTTTTTTTATTACACATGTTATATTTAAGCATATTGTATTTAGAGGTCTTATTTGCATGACATATTACTCAAACTTTTAGAATTATTTTTAGGTTCATAATCTAGATCGAGTTTATATAGGTGGTTGTTTGACTACTTAGAATGAGATTCAAATTATTTTTTCTTTTGAAAATTTTATCAAATGTGTTATGCATATCGTCAATTTTGTTTTCAAAAATACTACATTATTCATAATTGATAGGTTTAATAAGATTCTCATAACAAGAAGAATAAAGGAAAGAAAAATTTTGAATTAAAATTCTTTGTGTTTCTCTTATGATATCTATTTATTCTAACAAATTCTTAATTCTTATTTCAAGGGAAGACATAGTATTCTTAGAGGCAAAATTTATTTTATAAATTTAATTAACTCTTTGTATAACATTTTATAAATGAGAAAAAAAATCATTATATGCAAATTCAAAAGTTAGATTATTTATCTTATTTTTTTCGTTGTTTGTCTTAGGACATATGCAGGTTTCTTCCTCGTTTTTAAATTTATTGGAGGAGTTTATGTGATTTCCATCTCATACAATGTAAGCTCCCTCTAAATCTTTTTGTGGTATTTTGTATCTTCTAGATTTATTTAACACTTCGGGTATTCTAGATTTATGTGTCATTTCTTTCAGCATTTGAAGCAAGTTAGAATGATGGTCGATATATCTTTATTTTGTTTATGAAATGCGTGAGGTTGTTTTTTGTGTTTTTGAAATTCTTTGAATTTGCAAAATATGAAATACAAGTCTTCCTCACTTTTACTTTGACAATCTTTATCTTTTGATTCTGTGTCTTTGATATTTGTAGCTTTTAATGCAAGATTTTACTTCTTTTTTATGCCTTCTTCATTTTCAACTAGCATTTTTAGTTTCATTTTTTGTTCTTGCAATTTTCTAAACATGGTAGCCAAATTTATGGAAGATGAATCTTTAGGTACAAAAATCATAGTGACTTTAGGTTTTCAACCGTGGTTTAGGCATCTAAAAACTTTAATAATCAAATCCTCATGTAGAAATTTTTTTCCTAGAGTTCTCAGAGGATTCACAATATGAATAACAGAGAATACGACCTCGCGAAGCGCAATCGCACTCTCGTGGGATGAGCTTAATAGAGTCGACACCGAAATTTATTTATTTCCAAAGAGTAAAAGGTAAAATATCGATAAAATCCTTAAAACAACGACAATGATTACGGTCGTCGCAACCATATCAGGGTTCGAGAGTCAATTACACAAGGGGAAGGTATTATCACCCCTTACGTCTATTATACTCAAAAGGAACCACTTAGTTAGTGTCCAATGAATGTTAGCTTACGTTTGTTTGTCATCTTCTACTTATTTGAGTGAGAAAAGAAAAGGAAGATAAATATTTTAATGAATTTTTTATTAATGTGTGAAGGACTAAAAAAAAGATTTTTATTAGGGTCCCTGACGAGACTTTGAATCTTGCTCATACGTATCTCCGGGTGCAATAGAGAACTCAAGGCTTACATAGTTCTTGGTAGAAAATATTTATTTTTTGGTCAATTTTAACAAAAGCTATTTTTTTCAATCGACAGAAAACATTATTTAACCCAAAATAGGCGAGGAACGAGCGTTTGCATCACATTAAATGGATTTCTACATATTAACATTCACGGAAAAACGTCATTTATCTCAACTCAACGGTTGTGGATGAATCATTGTTTGCATCATCTCGAGACAAAATACCTTTCATTTATGAAAAGGTTTTTGAGATCGCACGGCGGCAAGAAAAAATTGTTTGATTGGTTGGATGTCTTTTATAAGTGAATGATGAATATTTGATGAGAAGGAGACATAAGCCTCGGGATCAATCATTTGGGGTTCCACCTGAATGCTAGATTCCGAGGGTTCTTTTTCATTCAAAGTCATTTAAGAAAATTGTTTAATGGACAATGGATGCTTGATAAGAACAAGACATGTGTCTCAGAATCAAATGCTTAAGGGATCCATCAGAATGATAGATCCCAACGGTACTTTTTTGTCCAAGTTTATTACGTGTTTTAAGAATGAAAGAAAGAACGAACAATTAATCTAAAACATGTGCTTCCGGACCAATCACTCGAGGATTCTACCAGAATGTTAGATTCCAACAATCCTTTTCTTCCGTGTTTCTTTAAAAAAAAGAGTTTTTAATGCATTAGTAAAAATGATTTGGAGTTATTTTGATTAAAATGATTTGTCTATAATTTGAGATAACTTGAGAACGGTGAGATTTGAAAACTAACTTGACATTGATCAAGGATTTGGATCTTATTTGAAATGTTGATTTTATTAGGCACATTCATGTCTTATTTAAAAATCAAAGGTCTTCATACAAGATCAAGTAATTCATGCAATGATATACAAATAAACATGACCTATAATCATACAATTATCACACAAGGCATGCAAGTATTCATAATTTGATCAAAAGTCAAACAATTCAATCACTAAGTCAAAGTTAATTCTAAAATCCTAAAAGATAATTAATATTTTTTTTATAGAAAAGATGTAATCAAATGAGCTAAACCCTAATACACATTTAAAAAAAACTAATTTACTTCATTTGATTTTGATAAAATAAAATATGATAACCTAGAAAGTCAATAAAAGAAAATTCAAATACTTTTTATAATTTTATTAAAAAAAGGTAATATTCTTTTCATGATTTTTAAATATAAATAAATAAATAAATAAATAAACAAATAAATAAATAAAATAAACTTGAAGCGAACAAGAAATAAAAAAATCCGAACTATGGGGTGCATGCATGTTAGGATGGGTGGTGTGAGCAACAACATGGGCTTAAAGCCTAATCTAACAACACACCTAATTACTATACCACAACAAAAAATAGGAAAATTTACCTCATACTGCTACAATTATATCCATACTCTTACACTAAAATTTTTTGGACCAAAACACCCTCGTATAAATAATTATAATTTTTTTTGTTTGTTTACCAGAAGACTTTAA